TACATCCATGATTATCTCCAGATAAATTCTTAGCAATATGTTAGGATGAGGTGTAAAAAATGTTAATGCTTTCAATTCAACTTGCTAAAATACCAACCAGAAGATAAAGTAAATCCCCAGTACCATATCAGATATCATTTTTATTCCCTTATCTATATCACAACACATGAAAATTTTTATTTACCCACTCAGCTACTGGTTATAATTCCTCAGTATATTTATACCTACTGACCTGAATGCAGGACAGGCACTTAGGGATCTTTAAAGAATTTCCCATTTGATTCATACCACTTTTCAGTTTAAAACCATTACTACAGAGAGAGTATCAACTGACAAACCAATTGCTAAAACACTAGTTTACACAATCGCTTTGATGTATCAGCTCTGGATCAGGCTCATATTGAAATTCCTTTTGGCTTCTGTGACATTCCTGTTTTCTCCTGTTTCTATGTCATGATTTTTGATATGACATATGATCTCTGTCTCTGTCTCTGATAAACCCAACTGGTTCATGTCTTGCTTAAAAACATTATTTCTCTACTAGGATAGATTAGCATGGCATACCAAGCATTTGACCACTTTCCAGAACCATCTCCTGGTTACTTTATATGAGCAAAACCTGTCAATTTGCTTTTCCTCAAAACCTGTTACTGGTCTTAGTCACATGTGTTATTCAATCAAGTACCAGATGAAATTCTAGTCAATTTTTTCTTTTTACCTTGAGATATACAGTAATTCTCCAGGTTCTGTATTTCTACTTCCAAATCGTAAGTCTACCTCCAAATCTCTCATTTCCAATTGCCCTGTCCTGCTCAGGCCACATCACATTCATTTGTCCACCTTACCAGTCCACCTACATCCAGTCTTCTTATTCCAGCCTCCTTCACACTACGCTATGCTGACCTTCAAAACATCTTATGTAGAAAACCTTTCAGAGTGCTATCCACTGAAAGCCCCAACCTTAGCATGCTGTCCCAAACTCCTAATGCTTTGTTCCTGTCTCATATGTCCTGCCTCCCCACACGAGTCCAGGCACTGCATGCCTAAGCATGTAAGCTTCAGACCTGGCAAGCCATGTCTTCAATACTTGCATGCCTCCTTTTCTATTTATCCTGCATGGAATGTTTTCCCTCATATTGGCCTATGGGCATCCTTTTCAACCTTTGGGGGCCAGTCTAAATAACTTGTCTTTCATGAAGCATTCCCAGATTTCCCTAATTAAGACTAAAAAGAACTTCCTTGTGCACCCATTTTTATACCTTTATCATAGTCGTTATTACAGTCTAATTAATATAATGGCTAATTGTGCAACAATGTCAGCCCCAATAGATTGGAAGTTGTACTACTCACTAATTCCATAATTTTGGGAAACTATTAAGCCTTCTTTCTCATACACACATAGAAACATTAATACTTACCTGTGCAGGGCTGCTTTTTGAAATGAGATAATATGTTAAAGAAATCAGAAGTTCTAGGAAAATGTGTAGTTACTTGGGTTCCTGGCCCTAATGTGACACCTTCCTGAAGACAGCACATCACATCTCAGTTATAGCATGTGGGTTACAGTGTCACACAGCCTGGGTTTCAAGCCCACTTCTACTACTTACCTACCAGCTGTGTGATCTGGGTCAAGTACTTACGGGGACAATAAGAAGACCTACCCAATTTAGTTGTTATGAGAATTAAATGGATATAACAAGAACTTCTAGAAGTACTTGGTATATAGGATGTGCTCAATAAATGTCAGTTACAACTATCATCTTTGTGTTCCAAAACTTTAACACAGAAATTGGGACACAGTCTGTCCTTAATAAATGTTGGATTGTATTGAACCCTCTGCTTCACACTGCAGTATAATCTACCAAGGCTCTAATCTGCATTAAGCATACTGACTCACTCTATTACAATTGGGTATTTTCTATAATTAACATTCAACTATAAAATGCCAGGCTGCTGCACTATCTCATTACTTGGTGAACCACCAGGGGGTGCAGTTCAAATGTAGATGGTTTAGTCTTGTATTAGCTCCTTTGAAATTCACAGGATATACATGCAATTCTATTAACTTGCTGATAATCTGTCTAGTGCATAGTATTCCTTCAAAAAAGTATGCTAAAATATTTTAATCTTGGTTTTGAGGTAGTTGCAGTGTATAGAAGGATAACATCATTTCTAACTGCTTTGCAGTTAATTCTAGTCTGACAACTGCAGGAGATATTTTGAATTCTGTTTTGGGGTTTACATTATCATAAACCTTCAGAAAGATGCCACAGCTGGTTGGTGATGGGAGATGGGGGACACACAGGCGTTCCTATCAACAGTGATGCTGTTGAAGAGGTGTAAGAGGGGAACATAAAAGAAAGTATACTCAAGAATATTCAAAATATTTGCTCAGATTTTTTTTTGACATTTGGAGTGAGATAATTATGAGGGGATGTCTTGTGCATTGTAGGATGCTGACCAGCACCTTCACTACTCCCTAGGTGCTATTAATGCCCCCCTCCCAGTTTAGATAACAATGTCTCCAGATTGTCTCCTAAAGGGTAAACAGTCTGGTTTGAGAACCACTGCCCTAATGAAAGAAAAGGAGTAAAGCTATTAGATAGAACAGCCTATTGATTATATACACTATTTTCAAATAGTCTTACTGATTTATATAGGCTTTCCCTAAAACTAGAAATGTACAATAATTTTAATTGCCTAAAAACAAAATCCCTGGCTCTTTAGCTGGACATTTTGCAAAATGCCTTCTTTAGAAGGGTAATTGCTACAAAGCTTTTAACTTACAAATATAAGGTGATTCACATAACAAAATAGTTTCTACTAGTTTATATGTTATTTTTAGATAAGGAATGGATAAAGGAAAAAATAAGGCTCAAACAGAAATGAGAATACTCAAGGGGCTTCACCTGTCATGTAATAAAACTAGTTTAAAACTTACTGTATAAACTAATGTCCCCAGGTTTTTTTAAAACCAGAAAATTATGTTCATCTCCCTCTGATCTACAAACATGTATTCATTTTCCTACTGTCAATTCTGCACTTCTAAATCCAGTCATTCCTTTTTCCTTATATGTATGCATCTATTAAAGTAGCTGTTCAGAGTATATTAAGGATTAAAGATATATTTAGCAACAAGAAATGCCAAAATTATAGAATAGCAGGAAGTAATCTACATAAAGCTCTTGACAACACCAAGATAACTTGTTTGAACTTAAATCAATTCCCATCTCCTCTTTCAACTCATCAGTCCACTTATATTACACAAATTTTGATAGGAATTCTAGTTTGTTGGAAAAAATAAGCTCATTAAGGTACACTCATTAAGGGAAGTTATCTCTAAAATTCTAGAAGTCATCACTTTTGAAATTAATATGTTCTGCACCATTAAATACAATAACTCACCCTCTTGGGATGGAGGTGAAGGAAAACAGTATCATTTCAAGTCTTACTAATGGATCTAAATAATTAGAAGTGAGTCCAGGCCAAGTTACTTTAATTCTTCCAGGTCTCATCTATAAAAATGGGTGTAAATACTTGCACTTTCTTACCTTTCGTAGTTATCCTGAGAGCCAAATAACAGTTGTCAGAAGGAAAGCATTTTTACCCACGTTGTAGCTGAGTCCATCACAATATTCACGTTATAGTCAAATTCTTGCAGTTGAATCACTCATGTTCTGTACTGTTCATGCCTTACAAAAAGCAGGAGGTATTGTGCCACCTGCTGTTGAAATGTGAGTAATTTTGTTGTTGGTTAAGTTGAAAGGAATTATACTGGAAACAGTAATCCTCTTTATGGTGAAGGTAAAAATACTTGACTAAAAATTCTCAAGAGTAAGCTACCACCTCGAAGTCAAGGAGAACATGACTTTCATTTGATCCACCAAAATGAAGGCAAATAAAACTAATCTCAATCAAAGAATATTTTGGTATTGAAACTTTATGATGTTTTTCTCAGATTTCTTCATACTCCTACTACCCTAATTCTTTTACGCCTTGATCTTCTGGATCCAAGCTCTTCTACCTCTTTTTCCCTCCTTCACCAGGTAGGAGAGAAAGCTTCTTATTGTCAGAAACTAAGATTTCAGAAGATGTTAACTGACCCAGCCTTTAACCTTTAAGCAGATTGTTTCCAACTGTGTATAAAAGATTTTGACACTCTTAAAAGAAATGCCAAGCATCACAAGTCAGAGATTTTTTAATTTTTTCTTTTGCGCATTAAAGGAAGAGGAGTAGTGGTCATTAAATTCAAAATGTGATGGATAGAAAATGTCTTAAATGCTCACTAAGGTACATATTCTAAGAAAATGTTTCTCAGACACAACTTATCTTATTCCATTTTTATATTTCCATTCCCTAGAATGCAAATTCATAACCAACACTGGGAGTTTGTTACTTGTTGGATATGTTACCTTGATTCAGATCTCCAAGGCTGACCGAAGACAGGGTCTGCCTGCACTGTCTATTCCAAGCTATGTCTTAAGCACAGGTCCCCCTGCAAACTCTGTTCATGCCCAGCCATGGCCACCTATGAATCCAGCCTTCATTTCCATGGGCTCCATGGCTCCCAAAAGATGTAGTTTTGGATTTAGGGACATACTGTAATTAGTATGTCTTCATGCTGATGTCCTGGAATGCAATGCTACCATTTCTATTATTATTCCTTAATGCTGGGCAACTGAGAAAAGCTATCAAAGATACAAAGCCCATCTTGATCAAGAATTTCTATGAAGACTTGTGAAACTGTCACATTTTTAGATTATCTTTTTGCCTTTAGCATTTAGAAATGTGTTTCTTAAAAGGGGAAATTTTAGATGTTTCCAAGAAATCAGTAATTTTCTCACCAATTCAGTAAACCACTTTGCCAATTAATCTTTTATTTTTATTACACACATCAATATGTTACAAAAAAAATAAACCCTTTAATGTTAAACTGTAATTACGTCTTATTTTTTCAATGTTGAAATCTAAATTTTTACACAATTATAACCAGTAAACAATTTATATTCTAATTAACATTTTATTTTTGCATACAATTTAACATATATCAATATTTAAAGGCTATATAACAGTTCACCATAGCAACAGTAACACACTAAGATCCATTTCTCAACTGATGGGCTTTTAAAAAAAACTTGTACAGGTAGCTTTTAAGTATTTTCCTGGGTAAATATATGCTACTCAAAGTGAGTATGTCAAAAGATCAGGCATAGAACTCTTTTCGTCCCTTTTTAATGACTACTAATATACAATGGTTCTCGCATAAAGACACATGCATGCTTAAAAATTTTTACTCAATGTAACAGCAAGAACTAGGTCAAAGTTGTTTCCATTTTCACTTTAGTATTAGTTCATTTGACTATCATCTAAGAATTGAGTTTTACTTGTATCATCGCATTTGTATTCTCTCTATAAATCTGCCCACTAAGGAGTACAAAACCTTAAAGATTTCCATCTACTTTAAAAAAATATTGAACACTTGTAAATCCAAACAGCTTTTTTGTTCCACCATTCCTTCTTTAGTATACATTTTTCATTCTTTTAAATGATCTATCTTGTCAATGTTTTTCATTGCCATAAAATTTCTTTGCACTATTAGGATGAAAATATTTTTTTTCTTTTACATATAAAATTTTCATTCATTTGGAATAAAATGCATTATCATATGAAAAGTACACCTAATATCTCCACATTGATCCAGCTGGCCCTTCTATTAACTTTTATTACTTTTCTCCAAATGCTTTATTAATCTTATACATTCTATTCAGCACCACAAAATAAGGATTAACAGAATGCTTTAAAGATTCAGAAAGTAAAGTTCCTATTTTTTAAACCTAAATTTAAAAAAACTTGTATCTCTGCCTTAGTTTTCTAGATAAATTATCACCATTGTCAAACTGCATAAAGCGTTGTTGGAATGTTAAGCAGTATTATAATAAATCTATGTTACAGATTAGCATTCACCTGGATGTGGTTTTTATACCCAGTCTAATCCTCACAGTAATTGTTAAATATTCTTAGTTTTATAGATGGAGAAACAGAAACTAACATCTTCCCAAGATTAGAGAACAGGTAAGAAGTGATGCAAGGACTCTTCATTTACTATTTGTCCATTATACTAGGAGGTCTCTCATGAAGAGTATTCTCATATTTCAAGTTTAGCTTTCAACCTGCTTCTATTTAAGCATCTTTCTTAAATTATCCTAATATAGTTGCATAATTTTCCTTAAATGGCTTATAAATACTCTAATATTTTTTAAACTGCACTTACCACCGGACTCTAGAAACAAGATTTTTACCTTACATATCCTGCAAATTCCTGAATTGGTGTTTTACTGTTAATACATTTAAATATGTTTAGCTAGTTATAAAGCCATGTAAATAGAAAATATTTATGCTGCTTTGCCTTTCTCATTTTGTAAACATTTTTACCACAATTACATTTCTTCAACCATATGTAACTATGGTGCCAATACTACTTAATTTCTGTTTGAGAAATGTTTGTTTTCCCAATATGTCAGCTCTTAATTTTAATTACTTATCACATTATGAGTAGCCTATGAAATCATTACCACCACTAATTAAACCAAAGATGAATGTTAACTTTTTTAAAAGTTAATGTAGTTCAATACGTTCAATTTTTACCATTTTGTCCTACTGATGTTGATGTAATTATTATTCTACTAAACACCAGTATTACAATTGTGAGTCACAGGAAATAACTTTTGGTTGTTGTATTATTTGTCAACATTTCACTTTGCACTTTGTTCAGAATAAGAACATTTTTATGTTTGGGTTTTTGTACTGAAGCTGTATTTTCCCCCATATTCAACTGGTACCATATCATCTTTCATGATATATATTTATTCCATAAACACCTCAAAAAGCTAACCAATAAGCTTATTGGAATTAAATTCTACTTTGTCAGAAAATTGCACTGGATCCTAATATCCCAAAAATTCTTCCATGTTTATTGGTTACAACTTGTCTCATTTCCAACTTTTTCTGCATTGATTTAAGGAAATAATATATTCATTTTGTTAGTTTTTAAAACAATCTTTATTTTGGCCTAATCTAATACTTTTTTCTTATTTCCATTTTACCATCTTTTACAACTTCTCATTATTCCTTTTCTCAATTTCTTATAAATAATCTGTTTCTGAAAAACTTTTCAGTAAGCCTGAATTACTTTCACCTATTTTTATCTTGAGATTTAAAAAATTTTAATTACTATTTTGTAGGTTAGACATTTCAGTTATTTTGATAGGTTTAAGTTTTAAGATCCACCCAACAATACCTCTTTATTATATTTAAAACATCAATGTTAATACCAAACTATGACTTTTCCTTCAAAAAGCTATTACTTGAATCAGTCTTGTCTCATTTTCCTCATATACTGAGGAAGAAAAATAAAACTGTATCTTGGCATATTTACATTTTTTGTAACACAATCTTCAGACTGAAAAACATTACCAAAAAGAATTATTTTGTTAAAACCTAGCCAAACTGTTTAAGATTCACAGCTCTAAGTGTAAATTCAACATTTCTTTGATCCCATAATATGCTACAGAATTAGCATCTGTCTACTTTTTCCCCAACAATGAAATTCTGACTCTCCCAGGCATCTTTTACTTCTCTTATAGTAACTACTTTCATAATGGTGAACATAAAAAGTTTAGGGATCATGAAAGACCAGGTTAGGCCCCAATGTTGGCTTCTCCACACAGCAAAATGACCAAATTAATAACTGAGTTTCATTTCCTCTTTGAAAGTATGTCGTATCTGCTTCCTAGTGTTGTCGAGAAACTGTTATGGGAAACACAATATTAAGTACCTTGCATATAGTAAATGCTTCATTCCAGAGCAAAAACTATGAAAGAGTCTCTTCCTAAAGGATTATTTTCTTCCTGATATATGGAAATGGGACTAAATGAGGAAGAAGTTCCCCTCTTTTGATAGTCCTGAAACTTTTTGACACTGGAGTACCAGCAAGTGTATGATTTCTGGTGGCTGTACGGGGAAAAAAATATTTCTATTCTCTATAGACAACTGTCAAGAGGCAGAAGTGATTATGAATGCTGTTACCTATTTGTCTGGTGAGCTACAACTTTAGGGGCACCATAAATCCTACTTTGTTTCATTCTCTAAGTTAGTGTTGCTAATTAAACTAGTATAGCCAACAGGTGTTACATTCCATTCTGGGGAAGCTTAAATGAGAAAATCTTTTTACAGAGGGTTTAAAAACTATCTGTAATTCCAAGTTAAAAATGATTCATTCTGTTTCTCTTTAGGAATTTGAGAACCACCATCCTGAAGTATTTTCCTAGGATAATCTTTTTTTTTTCTTTTTGCCAGAGTTACTTGTTGGAAGTTCTTTTCATTCAGGTGTCAGAGCAGGGTTCTACAGATTTTTTAAAACTAATCTTATTTTTCACTTGGTACAAGGGCTAAGTAGGCAAAATAAACTGCAAAATGTATTATAAACACGAGGCCTTCACAAAGAATAAAGACTTTGCAAAATTTATCTTTTAACAATTACAGACAAGTGTATTTTTATCATATTGGCACTTTTATTAGTTGCTATTCTCACTACCAAGTTTACATTATTCATATTATATACAAAAGATTCACATAATGTATTTATATGTTTCTCTATTCAGAGGTGGCAGCAACTGTAATAGCTGCAAAAGTAACTAGTGCATTTCTTATATATTATTAATTATTCTGTAGACAATGACAAAAATCTGAAGATCAGTACCAGGTAACAGTTTTATATTCCTTTAAGCAAAGTTGCTAATATGGAACTCTCACATATGTACCCAATATTAAGATAAAGGTAACCCTGTTTTAAGTTTCTGGATTATGGAGCTGATTCTGAAATAAAAAGTCCAATAACCAAATAAATCAGTTACTGATTTACAAACATCTTCAATAGCCAATGTCTCAAAAAGACTTAAAGACAACATATGCACAGCACTCATCATAGAACCACTCCTAATTAGTCATAGGGAAAATGGTCCTTCAAATGAGAATACTTGGGCACCAAGCTGAAGTGAATATCCAGTTTGCTATTTTCTAGCTTTGAAGGGGGCTTTCTAGCTTTTTGCTTTCCTCAGGAGATTCTAGGTTGGCCACTGTTGTAGTATGGGTTCCAGGAGCATCTGCTTGCTTATCATCACCATCAAAGATAATGTCTTCTGGATTTGGAGGAGGAGGGCAGAATTCTTCACTTGGAAAGATCTCCTGGAACATTGTTTCTGCTAGCTTGACCGCGTGCTCACTTCCCAGTCCAGAGTCAGGCCCAGAGCAGACATAAACATTGCAAGGTAGGCCACAATATGAGCTTCTGCTGACTCCTGAGGAATCTCTCATATTAAAATAAAGAGCCCACAAGAGGCTTGGCTTTCTAAGTTCTTCCTTATCTACTTCTGTTTCAGTAAGAGGGGTGAATAATTTCTTTACCACTGATTCTAAGTCTTCTCTTGCTGTTTTTGAAGATTCACAGGTCAGATGTACTAGATAGGTGTCTTTCATGCATGTCATAGTTGATGAACATAACTCTATGACCCGAACAGAGGAAGCTCCTGGTTCCACTGGAGGCACTATCAAAATGGAAATCTGCTGATCAGAATCTGCCTTTAGTATAGACTGATCTGTAATAAGCACTGCCCTTGAGATCTGCTTATACTGCACATCTGAGCATGTTTCCTTATTAAGGTAACTATCCTCCACAATGAAATAGTCAGCATTTATTCTCTGACCAAAGCGATCTATAACGGCTTTACATCTTCTAGATTCTTTGTCAACTACAAGGCATTGGATTGTATGACGAAGACAATAGATTCCACCAAAAACTGCACACATCCTGCAAAAACATTGAGGAATTTCTCCTTGGCCATACAAAGGAAATAAAAAGGGAGTGTTGCCAAACCGTCCAAGACACTGAAGGAAGTTTTTTGTTGCTTTAAGACCATCTAATGTAGTACAAGATGATTCCGATGTCATTGCAATTGAGTGTAGTATAAAATGTTGGAGGTTGGGGGTTAGTTTTTTAGTTTTTAAGAACTCAGAAAACAAACATTGCTGGAAATCTTGGTATTCACCAGGATGCTGTTCATAGTCTAAACAGAATGTAAGAAATTTCATTAGCACTCTTTTCTCAACCATAGTGAGTTCTTTGCTATTAAAGACATCTGCTCTGGAACAAGGTACCTGTTCTACCTTTCCTTCCCGAAATGCAAGAATCCTAGTGACATTTTTAAATTCTGCATAATGACTAACATTTGATTTGATTAAAAGATCAATCAGTGATCCTTGAGAATACAGCAGCTTTGACACCAAATCAATATTAAATCTCCTGCTTTCTTGAACCATTTGATGGTAAGTAATCACATTTCTCTTCAGCTGATTGTTGTCGTCGTCTACTATAGGTTTGTTTTCAACCTTATCTCCATCTGAGCCTGGATGTATACAAGTTTTATCTCCACAGTACTTTTCTTTCTCTGGTGATTCCTCTACATCACCTTCTTCTACTGAAATCTTGCTATCACTTTCTGAGGCATGTTTAGCAGGCATTTCATTGTTGGTAACATATGAGTGCCTTTCTTCAGGCAACTCTGCAGAAGGCAGAGGTTCAGTGAAGGTACTAGATGCCACTGAGGAGGCATTTTTCTGCAGAGCACCAATCTCGTGAACACTGTCCCCTGAATTTTGGCTGGCATAACAAAAAACTTCTGTGTGCTGAATGGTCTCATCCTTCTTGCAAAGAGCAATGGCTTCTTCTGTTTCATGGATCAAGTCTTGCCATGCAGCAGCAGTCTCTTCCTCAGTGTCACCGTTTTGCTGATACTCCTTCAACCAGGACAGCAATCCTGAAAAGCTGAAACTAGCCCAATTCCCTCCATAGTAACTTCTTGAATCAACATGCAGAACCCTGTGTCCACTTCTTGAACATGCAGCTGCAAGGATAGATTCAGGCAAACCTGTCCCTATTATAACCACATCAAACTCTGTGGGAAGATTGTCCGCCATCCCAGGAGATAAAGGGTCAGGTAACAGCTATTGATGAAAGAAATAAATACAAATCTAGGCTGAAGCTCTGCCGCGGTGTGATTATGCTGTAATAAAATCTCTCCGTGTAATGTTCCAGGTCTTCCAGCGGCACCGAATTTGCAGGTATTAGCTGTTTAACTGGTTACCCTTTTAAAGTTTTAATAAGTCAGTAGCACAGAAACATGACAAAGTACATCTAATCACATCTGAGACTACTAAACGGATGTGTGGTTTTCATTCCTGCATTTCATCTTAGCAGTAAATGGCAAAATACATCACATATGCATTTGTGACTGGAACTCTTCTCTGAAAGAAGAAAATTCAAGAAAGAATACAATTGTAAACAATATGAAAGTAATTTCATGCAACAGCAATTACGATCCATTGGGGCCTGACTTGTTATCTGGATACAAACCTCTATAACACAAGTCATGAAATGCTTTCTCACATATTTTCTAATTTTTAAAAAATGAACAATAGAGATTTACTCTCCACCCCTGAATCAGGCAATGGAATAAAGGAGACAGAATGTCCCATGAAAATTTAAAAAATTAACACAATTCTTTGCTTTTAAAATATTTGAATAAGAATACACACAGTATGAACTTAAACTAAGAAATGTGTAGCTTCACTGTTTATGAAAACAGATAATACACTACGTGTCTACCATCACAAGCAAGAAATGTTTCTGAGGCCAAGGTCTGCAGGTGATTCCAGAACAGCTGATTAGACCTTTTAATGGCCCAAACAACCTTAGGATCTGTGGCACCAATATGAAACTATTTTGAATTAACCTTGCTGATTATTACAAAATAATTCAATAAAACATCTAGTATTAAAAATCTTTAGATGTATAACAGAACATGTACTGGGGGAATAGAAGGTACTTAAAACATCTTTATATGAATGTGCACGTTTATAAATTTTTTAAATTCCTAGATTCATACATTAAAATAATTTAACATCTCTTTCTAATATCTGAATATGGTGATGTTTGCATTTTGCCACACTATCTCTCCAACCCCTAAATCTGTGTTTTAAGAAAGGTTTGTTAAAACATCCTCTACCAAGGCTAACATGCTATTTGTATTTTTGAACGGGTAGTGAAGGAAGTCTCTCCTCTTAACTTTAGCATGGTCTTGGTTATATTCCACCTTTGAACACCTGCGTGATGTCAGGTGTAGCCAGAAGTGGGACATCCACTGACCTGAAGAATATACTTACCTGGAAGTCTTGGGGCTAAAGCACTGTACGACCCACAGTGCCAGACTTTCTGTTGTTCATCATTGCATGGCAACGGTGAGGTTTTTTTAATGTGGAATGTTCACTATTGCTAAATCTATTAAAATCTAATTGGTGCAAGCTGGACCTTCCATGGTTAGGAGATCTGATTACTCTGGATATTGGTAAGATAAGTCATTCAATCACAACTTAGATAATTAGCTGATTCAGTCACTGATCTGCCTGGTCAACTTAACTGAAATGCTGATCCTAACAATCCTATTCATTCATATTCTACCTCAAGAATATCAGAGATTACATTTATTTTCAGCATTTTCTGAGAAGCCAGGATTTCAGCACAGAACAAAGAAGCAGTTGTTTGGTCTACAAGTATACCCATGCAAATACATAGCAGTTCTCCGTTACTTATCTGGCCTTCCAGCAGGTGTGAAGAGGAAGACAGAGCCTATGAATAAGTGTAACCACAGTATGTTACTTTTCTTGGCTTGGCAGAGGACAGGGCTGAGGGTGGGAGTAACAGAGTACACAGGTCATAAACACTAAGACGCTTCTAACCTGCTGGGATCAAATGACTCCTCAAAACACAAAGCAAGTGGACTAGCTTCAAAAACATTAAGCTCAACTACTCCTTGAAAAATAAGAAAACTGCTGCAGGGGAGATAAAGTGAATTGGGAAAGCCCACACAGTCAGGCACACGATCAAGAACAGGGCCACCCTTGTGCCACCAGACCAGTGGTACTTCCCACTAGTTACGGCAGCCTTTCCAAAGCCTCTGGAGCAAGCAGCTAACTCAGGCATTTTTAAATTTCTTTCCCCTTTAATACTCCATTATGGTTAGTTCTTGCTCAGGGATAACAAGAGGATAAGTACTTTCCCTTTCTTCATCCTTAACACAATCTAGAAATAGTCCAGGCAAAGAAATTTTTTACCTTTACTAAGAACTTTTTAAGCCCCACAATAAACTCACTCTTGTCTCTGGGGTTTAATCAAGTCTCTGATCATCTGATTTTAAAATGGGAATATAGCTGCAGAGAAAGCATTAATTAAAAATGCCCTGAGAAATAAGAATAGATAGATGTAAGGTAAAATACCAGCTGGTGATGGTTTCCAGCAGTCTTACAAAATAATTTCTGATCAGAAAGGGACTCCACCAGGAATGGTGAAGGAACACAGAAGGAAGAGTGTAGGAGATACAGGAGAGTGGGTGTTGCAGAGGGAAGATGCTAGCATTTACAAAAAAATTCAATGCAACCTTATTTTCAAACACCCAGGTGCAGAAACAGAATTTCCCAGAAGAGAAATGGGACTTTATGGAAACAGAACTTTCATGTCTGTGAACAAACATGTGATGCCCACACTAAGGTGCATTAATGACACTTAAGGCTTGTGCTAGAATCCCCTTCTTTAAAGCTTAGGCCTGCCTAAAGAATTGCCTGGTGGGTATTTTTAATTAATATAAAGAGTCTAATCACATAGCCATCTATATCGTCCCTCCCCAGGTTCCAAATTTTTGTACAAAGGAATTCTCAGATTCATGTTTATTGGGGAAGAGGAAGAGAATATTAGAATCATTGAGGCAATCAAATAAATGAATCATGGCTTCTCTGACATTTTGTTTCCTTCAAAATATTTCAAAAAATGAATCAGTATAATACCACAGTATTTGGGTTTGTCAGAGCACAGGTGGCTGGTCAGTAAGAAAATATTTATGATAATGCTACAAAGATTGCTCTCCAACATCTGCCAAGATAAAAGGCTTTATAAATTATCAGTGGATTTCAGGATTTAAAAAGGAATCATAAAACCTGAGAAATACAAATTTCTATTTCATGTGAAAATCCTGGAGCACACACACAAAAAAATAATTTCTTTCCTAGGCTCATCATATCCTGAGTTCATCTTCAAAAAATCAAGTCTCATTGAGACTTAATACTTCTGTAATGATTAGAAGTATTTCAGAAATAAATCTTCGATTAACTATCAAGTTCTACTTTAATGAAATCGACTGACTGCACAGCAATTTGTTCACCTGAGATGGGATTCTCTCAGGCATAGGTAATCTCAACTTAGATTTGGGTACGCTGTAACCTAGGAGGAAAATACAGTAAAAACAGCTTATGGGGCACAAGTCACTTTGCATTCTGGGGACATGAATGAAACTATGTCACTCCTTGGGAGGCATTCAAAAGTTTACAACTGTTAATGAACAAAAGAAAAAATATAAACTACTGCTCTTTTAGGTTTCTACCTTTCATTTCAAGAAATAAATAGTACATGAATTAAAATTTTAAGTTCCTCCAACTTTCATGAGTTAATCACTTCTTTTTCTTGAACCTGACTCCATAGGCCCTTGTTTTTTTCCCCAAAGTGAAATGCCCTGCTGAACTGTATCAGGAGAGGAAAACGGAGGAAGGAGATGAGAGGACAGGCGCTCGCCAGCGTCCCGGATGCTCCGGGGAGGGAGGGTGAGGGTGGGCGTGGGGGACAAGGAGCGGAGGGTGGGCAGCGGGTGCAGGAGACGGAGGAGGAGGAAGGCGCGCCCGGAGCTCGGGGTCGGAGGCGGGCAGGGAAGCGGGCACCGAGGCCCAGGGGGACGGGGGACGCACGGAGGCGGTGGCAAGGCGGAGAGAGAAGTTTGCAAGCGGGAAGGAAGCGTCCCCTCCCGGCCGACTCACCGAAGAGGCTGCTGCTAAACCCGTCCCACACGCAGCCCACGGCGTCCCACACCCAGCCGTTCCTCAGGCAGGACACGAAGGTAAAGGTGACCCCGAAGAGGGACACCAGCAGGTCGCTGAGGCTGAGGTTGGCCAGGAGGAGGTGGGTGGGAGAGCGCAGCCGCTGGAACTTGTAGTAGACGACGAGCACCAGCAGGTTGCCGCCAACGCCCAGCAGCCCGAAAGAGCCGAGCAGCAGCGCCAGGCGCTCGTAGGCGCCCGGGCTGAAGAGCGGCGCGGGGCTCACCGTCCCTGCCGGCGCCGGACCCTGGGCCCCGCCGCCCTCCCAGTAGCCCTGGCCGCCGCTGCGGTTCCCAGAGTACATGGCCCAGCGCCCACGCAGCGAGCGGGGCGGCCCTCGGCGCGCAGCGCTCTGGGTGGGGCTGGAGCTCCGCTGCGGGTTTGGGCCACCGCGCGGGAGGGCGCCGCGCGCCGGGACCGCCCCCTCCCCCGCCCCTTCCCCCGCCCCTTCCGCCCGCGCTCCTCCTGGCCACCCCCTTTCCGCGTGCGCGCTCTCGCGGCCCCGCCCATCGCCGCGCGTTCCTCCTGCGCCAGCTCCCCAGTCCCAGTCGCTCCGCCCTTCATCCCTAGGCCAGCGTGGACGCGCGGGGGCGAGTCCGGAGAACTGGAAGGACCGGAAGGAAAATCGCTGTCAACCAGTGGCTCCTCACACCCTTCTTCCCTCACCCAGCTTGAAAGCATCGTGTCTGTTCGCCCATTCATTCATAAATATTCATTAGTGCCTGCGCCCACCCTAGGCTTTTTCCCTTCCGAAAAACTGTAATAACGCCCCCTTCCCATCACTTATTTTAAACAAAAGAAAATAACAAGTCGAAAAGCTTGCAGAGGATAGTAGCCAAACAATCGTAGAAACTCCTAAATGGGGGAAGAAGAAAGGTAAACTGATAGAGACCACCTGAGAGCTGGAGTACAAGTCCAAGGCTGCAGCAGGGAGGAGTGGGACGCCTGCCACACTCAGAGTTTCAGGACCAGGAAGGACGGCATAGAGGAGGACTGCGGTTAAGCCCCAGACTCGACCCCAGGTCCTTCCGTCCTGCCTTAAGGGACAGATTTGTCCCGGTATGCCGAAGCCCTTCCTGCAGGTAACTGCCTGGGCTGTATCCCCAAAGCTTCAACCTAAATCGGACAGGTATAGAGAAACAGGAGCTATATTTAGAACAGCACACATTTTCCACTGGGCCTTTTCCCCAGTAGCAATGAAAATATAGTACAAGGCAAATATAGATTGTGAACGTGATCGCATTCTTCAGAGGTGTTTTTTGTCTGTTCTGCACTGTCCCTAAGAAGGCCTCAGCAAGGCCGGGCTCAGGCTGTCCTGGGGAACTAGCAGGAGTTAGTAAAAGCTTATGTAATTGCTCCACCTCCTGGGGATGTTTACCTCTCCCACTTTGGTGCAAAAGATCAGTCAGAAATGACTAGCTTCAAGGAATTCTAGTTCCACATTCCCCAGAGAGAACCAATTGACTGGTGGTCAACTTTTCATACTGCTGGGTTGAACAATAGCCACGGGCAGTTAAGGCTTCTAATTTGGACTTGCCATTTATGAAACTAGCCACCCACCTTCAAAATCTTTTTATTTTATATTTTAGGTATACATCTAACAAGTTCTGTATGTTTCATGTTTATTGTGTTTTCAGCGTAGTGCCTTCTTTACAGTAAGTTCTCAAAAGTATTAGTTGAATGAATGAATGACTGTATGAATGACTGGCTATGTGTGCTGTTCTCTTAAGATTCCATTCATTTGGCTCTGAGTCTCTGCCTCATAAAGCTTACATCCTAGCAATGTTGAGAGAGTAGACAATAATCAAATTAGAAGATGGGCCCAGGGATTTAGCTCAGTGGTTCCGCCGCCTGCCTCAAAAGTGCAAGGTCCTGATTTCGATCGCCAGTACCCCCCCCCAAAATTAGAACAAATGTGGGAAGTCAGATTCTAAATATGATAATGAATTGTAAGAAAGGAGAAGTGGATTATTATTAAGACATGGCAGGATGGGACATGGTGTTGCACCCCTATAATCCCACCATTCTGGGAGGCTGAGGCTGGAGGATTTCCACGTAGAGACCAGCTTGGGCAACTTAGTGACTTAGTAAGACCCTGTCTCAAAATAAAAAAATAGGGATGTAGTTCATTGTGAAGGCCCCAGGTTCAGTCCCCAGTACCACAAAAACAACAACAACAACAACAAAACCCCACTGTGATTAAGGATAGTACTGACCAACTATTATGTGCACAGGATACATGTACTGAAGTGAATCTGTGCTTGGAGTGTTGGGGGAATAACAAGAAAGCCAATGTGGCTGAAGCAGAATGAGAATAGGAATGGGGGCAGAGATTGTAATAAAAGGCGTTTGGCGTTTGCACTATCAGAGTAAAGTCCTGGACAATGCCTACACAAGAGGAATAATAGCAGTGAATGAGAAGCAGGAAGAAAGTCTTTGGCAAACATTTAAGAATTTTCAGAAAGGATACCACATACATGATTTCCTTTGTCAATAATAGGTTTCTTTAAAAAAAAAGTAATAATAGGTTTCTTTTCAGTTTCACAATTGCATATTGATGGGTATGATACTTAATTTTGATAGATAATAGCAAGACACTACCGCTTTAAAAGTAAGTGCAGTTTTATAGGTTTAGCGCTTACATTTAGGTCTTCAGTCCATTTTGAGTCAATGTTATATGTGATGCAACATAAGAGTCCAACTTCATTCTTTTGTATATGGATAGACAGTTTCTCCAGCATTTGTTGGAAAGACTGTCCTTTCCCTGCTGAATGGTCTTGGCATTCTTGTTGAATATCAGTTGACCAAGTATGTGAGGTTTTACTGTATATCTTGACTCTCTATATGGCAAAGGTAGAAGTAGGAGAGATAGCAAGTTCAGCTTCCCCCATTTCCTGACCCACTGCTCTCTGTAAGTGCTGCTTTCCTGAGGTTTCTTGATCGGTAAAGTTGTCCTCTGATGTTGGTACTCTCTGATCATATCAGATTTTAAATGTTGTGTTTTTCTCTTCTATGGTGATTTGTTAGAAACCTAAAATCTCTAGGATTCTTCTTACTCATCTCCCTTGACAGAGGCAATGCTTTACCAACGTGCTTGGTTTCGCTCTCAGCCCATGCTTATGGTTCCCGAGACAATGCAGGCAGTCTTCCCACTAGGGCTTCTCCCAGCCTGACCCAGCCTGTTTCCTCTCCTCAGAGTCTAGCGTCTGGCTCTCTGGGAATATGTGTGCATCCTTGCCCCACCCAATTCAAGAAGTGGTTTTCTGTGGAGAGCTGGCTGTCCCCAGTCTCTTCTCTCAGTTCCCCTTGGATGCAAAGACCTGAAGCAAAGTGATGGCTCCTCCCAGTGCTCATTAAGGCTGTCCTCAATCTCCTGATGAACTTGTCTCATTCTCTTAAGTAGTTTGGAGGTGATAATGAGCAAATGAATACAAAACTGGTTCCTGGTGCCTCCACACTCCCTCCTGCCTGGGCTTGCCTTTAGAACGTGGGAGTTCTTTGAGCTTTTTGTTTTGTGAGATTACTCCCAAGGCAAAAGAGTTCATTTAATATCTTCCTCCTCCGGAGTACTAAGGCATCAATCTATCTATGTGCCAAGAATGTCCTTTGCAAAGTATGAAGAAGGGGGAATGGTGACTGTTTTCTCTGACACTCTTGTTTGAAGTAACCGATAACCCCTACCCTTCTAGTGCGTGTGTGTGTCAGCTGAGAAAGAACTTCAATGCTTACTAAATCAAGTAATCTCCTTCCTAGGGGGGGAAAAACGTCATTCCCTGTTCTCTAGCCTTGGTCCTTGTTGAGAAGCAGAAGAGCCCTTGAAAAGATCTTGCCCAATGTATCTGTACCTTCTTCTGTTTTGGGAATATAATTTAAGGAATATAATTTGAACTTTTTTTTTTCAGATTCCTACCTGATTTAATAAGAGAATTTGTTTAGAAACAGCAGTTGTGAGCCTGCAGAAGCACAGTGCCCACTCAGGGCGCAGACAAGTGGATTACAGGGCCCTACTTCCTGGGCGCTCCCTTCTGAGTGCCAGGCTGCAGGCCCCTTCCTGCTCCCTGGTGGGGCTCTCTGCTGTCCCCACAGGGATGCCCTGTCCTGGCTCTCCTTCTTCCCTCTGTCTTGGGTGAATCCCTCTCCTCCATCTCAGCTCATCTTCATTCCTTCTAGGAAACCTGTCAAACTCAGAGTGACCACTGTGCTTTCTAACATCATCTGAGTGGCATTCTGGTGTTTCAGGTCCTTGGATTCTTCTCTCCATGTCCCTCTGCTCTTTGTCATTGTCATCCTGGGACTTCTCCCTGTGCACCCCTATCAGGCTCTCTGAAGGCCTGGCTCTCACGAAGGTGTGGGAGGCACAGGTTTGCTGTTTTCCATCTCCAGTGCTGACTTCCTCGCCTCTTTCTTTTTGTTTTCCTGTGTCTGGTTCCTCTTCCTTTTCTAGTTTCTTAAGAAGCTCTATCCTCACTTCTGTCTCAATAGTTGTCTTTTGTTTATCTGCCTCTTTCCTCCTGTATCTTTCTTCTTCTCATCTTTTTCTTTTTTCTTCCTCCTGCAAGCATTTCTTTTCTAACTCCCTCCTCCTTCGTTCTTCTCGCTTCTCTTCTCGAATTCTCTGCTTTTCTAATTTTCTGTTTTTAATATATTCCAAAAGAGGTGTGGTTCTTCTAGCAACAAGTTCTCACATCTTTGCCTCTATCTCTCCCAGAAGAGTTTCAGGGTTGGCACTGGTTCTCTCTTCTTCCATGCTGTAAGTTTCTAAAACTTCTTTATAGTCTGGATCATCTTCAGTGCTCCCCATCTTGGTGTCTCTCTTCTTCAGCTTCCTCCTGACTATCTTCTGGAATGGGGCAAACTCTACCATGGCAGGATACTCCAGGCCTTTACTGCTCATGAAGACATATCCATCAAAACGATCTCTGAACAGAAGGATGTCATCGGGATTCCTAAAATTAATGTATGCTCTTGAGTAGAGATGAGGATAAAGGCTGCAGTCCACACCAGCCACCTCGAAGTAATCGTGAGCGGGCAGCGGGCGCAGCTGCTCCTCCAGCTGCTCCTTGGTGAGGCCCCCGGGGGGGGGGCCGCCATAGGACCACCTGGGGCAAAACCGGCTAGTCACCCAGCCCACCTCCACTCCGCTCCCCTGGCAGCCAGGAACCGCACCCCACCCTGCACAATTTGAACTTTTAAAATAAAAGAATCTAGCATCCTTCAAGTTCTAACTATTATTCCTCTGTGTTCATATACCTCCTCAGATGGGTGAAATATGGGTATCATTTTAATGTATAAACTGTGAACTTGTCTGCACCCCACCAAACTATGTACATTTGCTTTTAAAATGAAATTTCATTTATAACCTTGCTGTTTTTATTAGCCACTTTTCCATCACAATAACAAACACCAGAGATAATCAACTTATAAAGAGAAAAAGTTTATTTTGACTCACAGTTTTGGAAAGTTCAGTCCATTATTGATTGGCCCTGTTGCTTTTGGGCCTGTAGTGAAGCAGTACAGCATAGTAGAGCACGTAGTAACTCAGTGGTAGGGCAATTGCCTGGCAAGTGTAAAGATTCAATCCCCTGCACTGCACTAGAGAGAGAAAAAAAATATCATCCAAGCGCTACTTCTGAATGTGAGGCACCAAAATGAGGGCACAAGCCACAGAAAAGAAAGACAGAAGGTACAGACTTGAGGATGAGGCAGTTCCCAAACTATGTCGAAGGAAGGAAAGATAGCAGTATGAGAGCAGTGCTCCAGCGTCTGTAAGGCATCAGTCCATGCTGCAGGAATGCGACTCGAGAGACAGACCTGTGGAAGAGCGTTGTTACCAAGATGCCTTCTGCCAACATTCCATCTTCTATCTCGAATATGTCTGGGTGAACCTGGCCCAGATTCTTGGCACCACTTGCTTAGCCAGGGCCATACACTATTGAATTCCTCTGCCTCTCCTGTGCCCTGCCATAGGCATCAGCTGAGAATGCTCATTCTACATAGAGGAGTTCTTCATCAGTTTATCCTGAGAACTGAGTTGGCCATGGTGAACTAAAAGCAGGAAACATAAAGCAACCTATTTCACCGACAGGATTCCTAAAGATGGCTGCTACCTGGCCCACAGACCAGCCATCTAACTGGTCGCTCTACCATTTCTCCTTTTCATTTTATTCTTCACAGAGCGCCTGGAGTAATCATGTCACTATTCTACCCCAAAACTTCCCATTTCACTCAGAGGAAATAAAGGCCAAAGTCTTTACCAACCACCTGTAGGGTCCTTCATAATCTGACCACCATTTCCTGACTCTCTGCCCTTATCTCTCTACCTCTCTTCCATGCCACATCACCTTGGTCACACTGGTTTCCTTGATGTTTCTCAGATATGTCAAGCACATGTTGATCTCAGGACCCCCTGACTTGCTACCTTCAGGTTTCTGCCCAAATGTCTTTTCCTTAGTGTAAAGCAGATTCCCCACCACCTCCTCTCTCTCCCACTTTCCTCCCTGTGGGGGAGGGGAATTTCAATCTCCTCTTTGTGAAAAAGTAGAATGTTACAGAGATATTATGATGCAGAGAGAACCATATGAAGTACACTGGTAACATTATGAGGTCAGAACTTCTGTGTTTGTCTATATAAACACATCAGTCAGCTGTCCTGCTAACATCCTAATGATAAGTCACTCTAAGCCATAGAACAGGATTTTTTAAGATTGAAAGAATGAGACATAAAGCAAAAAATTGAAACAGCAGAGAAGCAATTGTAAAAACTGGAGGATTTTCACCTTTGGCAAATTTGCAGTATTATTTCTGTACAGAAATAAAAGATTCCTTGCGTCCATATGGATGTCAAAGAGGAGAAGCATTCCCTTTCACTTCAGATTTATAGTTTCAGAGTGGCCTTGAATAAATTTGAAAACTTGGTTGAACAGATAGCAGCTCAGAAAAGAGATGAAAGAGCAGGATTGTTTATCCGAAAAGAAGGTAAGATCAGTGAATACTGGGGAAGTCCAGTTCAGTTGGGAAAGTCTTAAGAGCAAAAACATGGAACTGTGGGCCTAAAGACCTGAGTTCTTGTTCTTTCTCAGTTCCTAAGCAGCTAATTAGACTTGGGGAAGCTCTTTGTACAGAACTATTCTGAACTTTGCTGTCTGAACTGTAAAATTAAAGGAATGGATTAAATGATACCCAGTAGTTATTTTGTAGGCACTACCATTTGATAGCTCACTGGTGGACCTGACACTCTCAGTAGTGCATACAACCATGTGACGAGCCATGTGTGCCACTCTACCATTTCCCTATCTAAGTGCACCGGGAGACTATCAGGACTTTATTAAATAGTACAGCATTTCCTGCTTCACCCTCCACTGTCAGGGCCACTCCTCATGTTTCTAGGTAGGAAGGTTTTGAGCACACCAGGGTAAGGGGAATGTGGTAGACAGTGTGTTCAGGAGTTTCAGTAGAAGAGAACCGAATACAGAGCTTTAAGTACTTCACCATGACCACGGCCAAGGGAATTGATGTAGTGTGCAGTTTAGGAGCATTGAAGACACCAGTGAAGAGTTGGGCTGAAGAGCACAGTCAAAGACCAACATAACAGCGTTGGTGATACAGTGTTGAGCATAGCCGCCTTCTGAAAACCAACAGAACAAATCCTGCTGTTGCAGTAAAAAGAGCCGGGCCCACGTAACTGCACGGCCAGCCTTTTAATGTTCCCAACTGTGTAGTCAGGTATAAGTAAAAGTCTTATCTTCAAGTGTGCAAACCCAAACCCGTATTATCTGAATAGGATTTAATTACAAGTCATTTTAATAAATATAATTTCATTTAATTTGCATGACAATATGAATGGACAAAGATTACCATTTTGTCCATTTTATTTGTGAAAAAGAGAAGGTAGAGATAAGTCACCTGCCCAAGACATTTTAAATGTTAAATCTAGGACTCAGACCTTTTAGATGGTTGTGAACTTAGCTGGGCTTTCTAAACTACCCACCAAAACTTTCTTTTCCCCTGCTTTGTTTTACCTCTCTCTGTAACTGATTTTCCATACTCTTACCACTTTTTCTGAATCCCCTAAGGGATTTCTGCTTCTTCCAGACAAGCTTCCTAAATCATATAAGAAAGCAAGGCCAAAGAGAAGGCGATCTCCCCAATTCCCTTTCCTCCACTTCCAATCTGCTAAAGCAACACCTGCCCTCCCCTCCTCCCACCCAAGGCTATCACTTGCTGCAACAGCCTCAAAATCTCCTTTTCCTACTGGCTTTGTCCTCCCAATCTAAAAATACACTCAAGCATCCTGACCTTGACTTTCTCTTCCCTTTAGGTACCACTGTATGCTTCTCACTTGCTTTTCCACTGAATTTCCACACAGCAAACCTACTTCATTTTCAATCTACTTCAGTCTGGCTTTCCACATCACTTTGTTGAAAATGCAGATGCCTTACCAAGGTAGTCAATAACCTAATATGCTTGCCAAATTCAATACGTGGTTTCCCCTTTTGCAGCCCACAGGACAACTTCACTACATTAACACTGTTAGCTGCTTTTGCTTCACCTCCTCCGCCTGCGTTTTTGTCATACCACTCTCTTCTGGTTTTTCTCTTTTCTCATCTTTGCTTGGCCTCTTTTTGTCCTTGAGATTTGCCTATGGTCGCCTCATTCAGTCTTAGGGCATAAACTTCATCTACCTAATCTAAGCCAGATATTATGATATAACCGTTGACTATGTCAGACTATCTCTCTTTTGGATTATTAATAGCAGTTTCTCGATAGAAGAGTCTTCTTTCCAAAACTTATTCCTTCTGTATTTCTGCAATTTTTCCTTCAAAAATTGAATCTGCCATATTCCTGACTTAATAGATCACCTCTAAAATTCATATGTTAACTTGGCATGCAGGGCCACTCACAATCATGCCTCGGTCTACTTTTCCAGCTTCAGATCCTGGCACTTTCCCTCCTATACCTTTCACCATGAACTTTTCAGCACTTCTAAAATGACATACTTTAAATGACTGATTTTGCACGTCTCATTGCCCCATGTAGAGTTCCTTGCCTCGTGTGTGTGTGTGTGTGTGTGTGTGTGTGCATGCTTCCTCCTGCCTGTGAACACCTGTTCATATTTCAAGACTCAAATCGAATGATACCTCTTTGGAAAAACTTCCCAACTTCCCCCAAACAAAGTCCATCCTTAGTACTGCTAATGTACTTATTGCTGTCTTAAGGAATTTATCTTCTGTATTTAGCCTGCTGAAATTGATATATGTGTTTTTTCCTGTCCCTTCTCCTCCACATTGACCTATGAGTGCTTTGAAGGTTTTGCAACCCTAAGGCTAGCAGAGAGTCTGTTGTCTAGGAAATTGTCCTTAAATGTGGGCCCAATGTGAATATCAACTTTGCTTTCACTGAGAAGTTTGCAGTGACAAAGTTGCATTGAAAATGTCATTCCTCATATTTAAAAACTAGACAAAAACTAAGTACTGCTAGACAAATGACCTTTCTTGACTCAGGGACTGGGCTGAAAGTTTGAGAAGAGAAATATAAAATCATAACATATCAGGCTCTCATATTGTATGAAATAAATCCATATTCATTAACATATTGAAAAATAGGATCTACTTTTCACCATAGGCAAGGAGCTAAGAACTAGAGAGAATTTTTCATAGAACAATATTTATCTAAAAATTATATTAGGTAAACTCCAGGAATTTTTCTCAACGACATTGCTCTTAAATCTTGCCAGTGACTTGGGAGATTTTATTGCAGAACAGGAAAATCTCATCACCTTCATCCAGTGACATTTACAATGAGACACATATTTTCTACTGGTTGATATGAATTTAAAATTCTTAAGTAACTATTTGGATGTATGATAGGAAGTTGAAGTTTAATATGGCTAAAGTGGAATATTTTACTTTTCCCAAGAGGCACAGTCCCTTCCCAGTTCCCTATTTGGGTAAAACAGTACTAATGTTTGCTGAGTTTTAACACCAGAAACCTAAATGCCATTATAGAACAAGGTTACTTGAACTTTTGGCTGAATAACTCATATACATATCTATATATGTCATATGTAGACATAGATATAGATATATATCTCCATTGTAGAATGTTTTGCAAATACCCATCCCATTTGTGATGATCAGAATGTTTCCAAATATTGCCAGAATTGCCAAATAGTCTGTCTCTCTGTCTCTGTGTCTGGCTGTCTGGCTGTCTGTCGGTCCATCTGAGAGTGTGTGTGTGTGTGTGTGTGTGTGTGTGTGTGTGTGTGTTTTGGGAGGGGGATGGGGGATAGGGCACAAATGTCCTTTGGATGAGAACCATTGCTCTAGATTCCTTCCTTTGCTTCACGTACCACTTCTGCTCCAAATCCAGTAGCAAATCCTTGCAATTCTACTTCCAATCACATCTCACCATGTCCACTGCTATCTCCAGGGTGCCTATATCACTTGTCATCCAATTGGAGATATTTTCAGCAGTCAAAGGGTGTGTATTGAAAATTAAGTTTGGAGACCATATAAATGAGACTTCCCATGGCAGCCAGCCCAGCATGCACAGTCGCCCTTGGTGGAATCCTGGATCAAACCTCCATTTTCTTTTTTTTATATTTTATTTTATTGGCACATTTTAGGTGTTCGATATAATGACATTCATCATTGGAAATTTGCACCTTTACACAATCTCTCCTGCTTCTTATTTTTCCCCCTTCCCCTGCCCTCCCTTCAACCCCTCCATCCCTCCCTACTTACAAAGACTTTGTTTCCATTTTTTCATTTTCTCATATTAATTCCATTCCCTTCTTTCCTTTCCCCTACCCCTACCCCTCCCACTTCCCCTTCCCCTTTGCCCCTTTTCTTCCTATTTCACATTATCTATTATACCTTTTAGTCCTTATTTACACTTTCAGTTTCTCACACTAGAGAAACTATTCGGGGTTTACACATGTGTGTCCTATTTATTTCACTTAAGAGTATCGCCTCAATGTGCATCCACTTAGCTATAAATGTCTCTAATTTCTCATTTTTTATGGCTGAGTAGTACTCCTTTTTTTTTCAAAACCACATTTTCTTTATCCAGTCTCCAGTTGATGGGCATTTGGGCTCAAACCTCCATTTTCTGAAGGCTGGACTAGTACAATAGCCCCACCTGGTTTTATAGCTTTTAATGATGCTTCCAACAGCATTTAAAAAACAAAATTACATTATAAAATGTCATTTATAGTTACATTATGTAATTCCATTATGTCATTTTCATCTATAAAACCATCCAGAGAGAGCCTATCGCCGTATTTGGAATAAAATATCAACCATGACTCCAGCTTAGGCTCCTCTACTCTGGTCTCAGCTCTCAGCACTTTTCCAAGTCCCCACGATGCTTTAGCCTCACTTTCCTAGAAAACATCAAGCTCTTTTCTGCCTCAGGACTCGGTGTTTATCAGTCTTTGTCTAGCTGTCCTTGTCTGCTTTAGACATGGCTGACTCCTGATTTCTCATCAAGTCTTA